TATATATATATATATATATATAAATATATATATATATATATATATATATATATATATATATATATATATATATATATATATATATATTGTTGAATATGACTGAAAAGATAAGATTAATAATTCTAAAACGAATCTTCTCAATATTTCTTATATTTTTCTTCACTGTCGGTGGTAATAAAAATAACAATTCTTCAAAATTCATTTTTTAATTGTCTGATGCCTGAACGCGTTTCGTAATTCGAATTACATTTTCAAAGACTTAATTTACACACAAATTCTTCGTACAAATACTCTATTGGATGAGGTGATATGGTACAAAAGTTTTGGGTGAGGTGACAAACACAAGACAGAACACGAAACAATGGGTATAAATTGGATAAGTGAACATATGAATGGAAGTAACTGCAGAAGGTCTATTGGCCCATACTTCCTCTTGCTGCTTCCATATTGGTTCGGGTTCTTGAATATAGTTGTGCATTAATTGGCTTTTGATCGCTGGTGTTGACTTTTTGACGTGTAGTGCCTCGCAAATGTCAAGCCGCCTGCTATCGCTGTACCTATCGATGATTTCTGCGTTGTTTGTTAAGACTTCTCTGGTGATGGTCTGGTTGTGAGAAGAGATTATGTGTTCCTTGATGGCTCCCTGTTGCTTATGCAGTGTTAGTCGCCTGGAAAGAGACGTTGTTGTCTTACCTATATACTGAGTTCTTTGGGGCTTACAGTCCCCAAGTGGGTATTTAAAGGCATAGATGACGTTGGTCTCCTTCAAAGCGTTCTGCTTGGTGTCTGGCGAGTTTTTCATGAGTATATTGGCCGTTTTTTTGGTTTTATAATAAATTATCAATTGTATTTTCTGATTTTTGTCTGTAGGGATGACGTTCCTATCAACAATATCTTTCAGGACCCTTTCCTCCGTTTTACGAGCCGTCGAAAAGAAGTTCTTGTAAAATAGTCTAATTGGGGGTACAAGTGTTGTGTTGGTTGACTCTTCAGAAGTTGCATGGCGTTTTACCTATCTTTTTATGATGTCTTCAACGAAACCGTTAGAGAAGCCGTTGTTGACTAGGACTTGCCTTACCCTACAGAGCTCTTCATCGACTTCTTTCCATCCTGAGCTGTGGCTTAGAGCGCGGTCGACATGAGCATTGACAACACTCCTCTTGTACCTGTCTGGGCAGTCATTATTGGCATTGAGGCACATTCCTATGATTGTTTCTTTGGTGTAGACTGCTGTATGGAAGCCTCCACTCCTTTCCGTGACTGTTGCATCCAACAAGGGCAGCTTTTCCATTGTTCTCCATCTCGTACGTGAAACTCAACGCAGAATTCTGCTCAAATGCGTCCTTCAGCTGCTGAAGACATCTGGCATCAGGTACCTGTGTAAAAATGTCGTCAACATACCTGCAGTATATGGTGGGTTTCAAGTCCATGTCAACTAAGACCCTCTGTTCGATGGTGCCCATGTAGAAGTTCACAAACAGGGCACCTAGGGGAGAACCCATGGCGACCCCATCTACTTGCTTATACATGTGCCCATCTGGGCTCAAGAAGGGTGCCTCTTTAGTGCAGGCTTGGAGTAGTTTCCTCAGTATGCTTTCTGGCATGTCAAGAGGAGTGTAAGCCGGGTCACGATACACTCTGTCTGCTATCATCCCGATTATCTCGTCCACAGGTACGTTGGTAAATTGTGACTCCACATCCAACGAGGCTTTTATCCCCGTGGCCCGTGCTCCGTGCAGTAAGTCGACAAATTCCTTGGGAGACTTCAAGCTGAAAGCAAAGGGTACGTAAGGAGTCAGCAACCCGTTGAGTCGCTTAGCCAGTCTGTATGTGGGTGTGGGTATCTGGCTGATGATTGGCCGAAGAGGGTTTCCTGGCTTGTGGGTCTTGAAATTTCCATAGGCATACCCACGTTTGTATTCCCCAACAACTTTTGGCAGGTTGGAGTCCGGATTTCTTGGCGTTCACAGTTTCGATCAATCTGTTTACCTTCGTTTTCAATTCGGCTGTAGTGTTCTTCGTTACCCTTTGGAATTTAGTTTGGTCAGAGAGTATGAGACCTCATACTCTCGTACCTAGTAGCCAGAACGCACTTCTCGGCCTACTATGCACGGCCCGATTTGCCTAATAGGCCGAGTGATTTTCTTTATTTACAATATTTTTTTCCAATTAGTTTATTTTTATTATTAATATTATATTATACTGAGAACATAAATTATTGACTTAATTGTGTTAGTTTAGGTTAGGTTAAGAAAGGTTAGGTGAGGTAAAGTTGGTTAGGTTCGGTCATATATCTACGTTAGTTTTAAGTCAAATTTAAAAATAATTAACTCATACATAATGAAATGGATAGCTTTATGATTTCATAAGAAATAAATATTGAAAAAATATAAATGCAGGAAAACTTGGCTTTTTAGTGTCGGGGTACGCGAGGTAAGTAACAGTATACAAGATATCCTAAGTACTTTATCTTGGCAAGGTCGCCAATGTCGGGGTACATCCTGTAAAGTGAGTAACGGTGTACACTAAATTTTATCGTTGTAATTTATAGTTGTAAGTACATGTATAAGTGTAAGTAACCGTTCTTGATATCTGGTCAACGGTCGCCAACGTCGGGGTGTCTCTCTCTCTACCTAGACACCACCCAGTAGTATTAGCGACAACTGTTACTCACGGTAGCCCTGCGGGTCTTCACTCAATCCTCGCGGCGCCACTGTTCGCCAGGAGAGTATCCCAGTCGATCTCCAGCTGGTCTTATAGCCAAAGATGAGTGGGAACACAGTTTGCTCTCTCCCAACCGTGTGCCCGCCCCGACAAGGGCTCTACTACTAACTGCAAGGTCGCCAACTGGTGTTTCCCGTGTCCAGTAACACGTCAGTGGTATTGTGGAATTGTGGTACTAATGGCAGAGAGCTCACTCATTAAATCTGGTCTCAGGCAGGTATGTCTCTAATACTCTCACTCTTTGTAACTGTTCTATAGCAACAAGATATATGGAGGGATAATACAAACGCAAAGGTATTTTGTATTTTACTTAAAAACTTCAAGGTATTATATCAGTATCAACAACGAAACATTTGATCAACGATCAATTTGGACCCCATAGTGGTCGCTTGTGAGTCTGACCATGTTTCTGCATCTCTCAGGGAGGCTGAAACGAAGGTAAGGTCTAATCTACCACCTTGGATGTGGGTAGGTTCATCCTTATTTAGGATTTGGATTTCTGGAAGCTGGTCTAGTAGATATGCAATGTGAGTGCCGGCCTCATTTGTTGTGTTCGAGCCCAGTGCCAATCGATGATGTGTACGTGTAGTCAGTGGTAGGGGGAAGTGGGGGGAGGAGGAGTGTGTTGGGAGAGTGAGATGGGGGTTAAGAGGAGGTGGGTGAGGTGTTGTCTTCAGACTATGGCTGGGGGATTAGTGGCTTATCTGGGTTCCCAGTGAGCTCACAGTTGCTGTCCCTGGTACCTGACTGCCACTTACGATTGTAATAATGAATGGAATGCAATAATGTCTATGATACGATGTTATATATACCTTGCACACTGTTGGAGACTTATGAGAGATACTTACCAGCCAGCCCCCTGCAAGCACTCTTGGTGAATACACGGCGTGTCGTTGTAATCCTGTGAGGTCTTTAGGTCTCCACTTGCGTCCTGGCTGATGCGACTGGTGCTGCCTCATGATGTCTATCTTCACTAGCTATCTTCTCTAAATTCACTAAGATATTTCACCACGAGATGTGATCAATGTGTTGCATTACAATGCCACTGTTCGATTTACACTGTTCCGATTCTCACTGCACAGTGCACATGCTCCCTTGACCCCTATTAGTCCCTCGGTATGCGCGGACCGCTGACCCTACACGTCTGCTCCCTATCAAGACTGACCCAAGACTGAAAGAAACATTTTAAACATTTTCTTTATTTATATTCTGTCAATCCACCTAAGTAATATATATATATACATTCTGTCACGTCTCCACTCTTCCTCGTTCTCTCTAGCATCGTCAGGTTTAGGTGTGTGTGTGTGTGTGTGCTCCTATTTGTACTCACCTTTTTGTGCCAGCAGGCTCTAGCTCTTGGGCCCCGATTTTCTAGCAATCAAATGTCTAATACAATGACTCCTGACCTTTGTCTTTATCATAACTGTTTTTAAAGTTATGAATGTAGTTTTCTTCTACAACCTGATACTTTAGGTTATTTCATTTCCCCTCTACTCATATGCTGAAAGAAGCATTACATTTTCTGTATTTATATTCTGTCAATCCACTTAAGTAATATATATGTATATATACATTCTGTCACGTCTCCACTCCTCCTCATCCTCTCTAGCATCGTCAGGTTTAGGTCCTTCAGTCTCCCTTCATGCCTCATCTTGCAACTCTGATTCGAGTCTCGTTGCAAAGCTCCCACAGGTGTTCCACATATACAGTACCCCTTATAACTCTCCCACAGGTGTTCCACATATACAGTACCCCTTATAACTCTCCCACAGGTGTTCCACATGTACAGTACCCCTTATCACTCTCCCACAGGTGTTCCACATATACAGTACCCCTTATAACTCTCCCACAGGTGTTCCACATATACAGTACCCCTTATAACTCTCCCACAGGTGTTCCACATGTACAGTACCCCTTATCACTCTCCCACAGGTGTTCCACATGTACAGTACCCCTTATAACTCTCCCACAGGTGTTCCACATGTACAGTACCCCTTATAACTCTCCCACAGGTGTTCCACATATACAGTACCCCTTATAACTCTCCCACAGGTGTTCCACATATACAGTACCCATTATAACTCTCCCACAGGTGTTCCACATGTACAGTACCCCTTATCACTCTCCCACAGGTGTTCCACATGTACAGTACCCCTTATAACTCTCCCACAGGTGTTCCACATGTACAGTACCCCTTATAACTCTCCCACAGGTGTTCCACATATACAGTACCCCTTATTACTCTCCCACAGGTGTTCCACATATACAGTACCCCTTATAACTCTCCCACAGGTATTCCACATGTACAGTGTGAAAGTTTGGATTAGTGGAATAAGTGAAATGGCTAAGGAATTGAGCTCGGAAAATTTCTAAGAATTTTCTTTTATTCTTTAACCTTTATTCCTGTCGTGATATTCAACTAGGTCGCCTGAGGAAGGACTTGCTTAGTTAACACACCGGTGTAGTAAGCCGTAATGGAGGGGTTCTTCCTGTTGACTTTGGTCACAGGACGCCAATCGCCATCACTGTCGGAACTTGAACTGAAGAGAGTTTTCCTATTGTGGTTGGGAGCAGCAACGTTGGTTCCCACACAATTCATCTGGTGGTCCATTCTATCGGTCAAATGCTGACTGTGGAGTGATGTGTCTGTCGAGTGAAGGTGACGCTCAATGCGTCTACACTAAGTCACTGTTGAAATTACACATGGTGAGTGTCCTGTGAGCCTCTTGTTGAATCACTTGTGATATAGAAAATTATTGATGTATATATGTATTTGTGTACATGGATGCATATATACACACATGTGTGTGTGTGTGACAGTAACAATTGTGCGACTCGCTTCTAGATATTATCAGTTGCCAAGCTAAATGAACTATGGGGTTCAGTTCCCCAACCGATTGTGTGCCTCTTTAACCCTTTCTCCACTGCCCCAAAGAATGGGTATGAGGATGTATATCAAAGAAATATATTAATTCGTTCTGCCAGACGTAGTTGCTTGCCGCCTGATGTATGGATCCCTCCCTATATTTCTCTAATGTCGCAACTTGCGAGATCTCGTTTTATTTTCTGCTAAAACATTATATTTGCGGGGGAGACCTACGTATTCTCGTCTCTCAGACTAAAAGACAACTGTATATATCGTCTCTCAAACTGATAACAAGTGCTTTTACCGTATAATATTAATTTAATAATATAATATAATACATGGCAAGTCTGAGACATTAGAAGTCCCCTAAAAAATTCATTTTCAGGTGTTGGTGCCGCGCCCATCTAGCTAATTTCATCCAATTTAAGACAATCTCCACCAAATTCGCCCCAAATTTGCCGTGTCATAGCACAACCAAAGCCAAAATCACCCAAGTTTTCCGAATCCCATCTAAATTACGGGTAAGGTCAAATTTATCCCAATTTAAAACAACCCCTGTGTGTGTGTGTGTGTGTGTGTGTGTGTGTGTGTGTGTGTGTGTGTGCGTGCGTGCGTGCGTGCGTGCGTGCGTGTGTGTGTGTGTGTGTGTGTGTGTGTGTGTGTGTGTGTGTGTGTGTGTTTGCCAGCCTCGTATTGGCCAATAGCTTTCTGTGCTTTCCTTTATTCCTTTGTTCGTACACTGTTCTTTCATCGTTCAAGCATTGTGTTTACACTGTTTTCCTTCTTCTCACATTGTTCTTGCGCTGTATATTGAAACTGAGTTTTATTTTTATTTGAGTGAGAAGAATATTATAATATGAGGATATTATAATTATAGTGTGAGTATTTACGGAAGAAATGGTTTAACTTTCAGAGGATCTACAACATGGCGTTGCAGATTTATGGGAACGGGTTCGAATCCTTCTAAGACTTCCTCATTGGCTACTGTATGGAGCTCCTTGTTTATGGGGACATGTTCGTATCCCTCTAAGACGTCCTCATGGGTTACTTTATGTTCTTTGTTTAAGGAGACAGGTTCGAATCCTTCCAAGACCTCCTCTTGGATTCCCAGGGTCGTTGGAGTTTCAAGATGGCGACCATTTGGTATGTCTGTAGAACGACGGCGGTCGCTGATTGGCTTGTTGTAAGGACGATCAGCGAATGTGGAGGGAGTATATGTCGGCCGCGCCGAGACGTGGCTGCTCGTGATTGGTGGAAGGAAAGGCGTAGCATTTGAAAATTCTTCGGGGAATGGTGGAAGCGTCGTGACGTGCCTGTTCGTGATTGGTTGGTAGAACCCGGAAGAGGATTCAGACAGCCAATAGGTGGTTAACTGTTTAAGAACACTGTTGTTGCTGGTGACCGGATCCTTCCTCTGTAATGATAAAATAAATAACATACAATGATAATACATAGTTCAGCTGACACTATAATTTTAATATTACATAAAAATTAAGACCTATATTCTATACCCCATATTGATCCCTCTACCAAACATATCTACTGATACATCACCTGATATCCCAGACTATCCATCAGTAATTACATAGGAACGATGTGCAAGAATTTGCAGAAGGGCTATTGTCCCACTCGGATCAGCACCTTGTTATACTGGTAAATTCAGGTAAATCCAAAATCAACCCCTTTTATATTTATGTCTAACTTGCCCTTGAACTAATCAATGGAACCCACGTCTATTATTTTATCCGGTAATTTGTACCATAAATCAACAACCCCGTTTACTAACTAATATTCACCCAGGTCAAAAACCCAGTATTTACCCAGGTCAAATAATTATCCAGCATTTATTAATTGTTAAGTGTTCTATTTTGTGTTGAGATATTTAAACACCTTATATACCCCTTTCCAGGTATATACCTGAGTGCTGTAGAGCTCCGTGCTCTACCGCGCATACATCACCCATTGTCTCCACTCTAAGGTGAATGGCAATATTCTCAGTATTACTCCATCCGGACTGCTGCTTTATCTGGAGTGGTGCTACGCTTGGACAGCCACTTTTCCGGACTGGTACCTCCTCTGAACAAGTACCACATCCGGATATAGGTATATTATCCGGACTGGCCCCACACCCAGACAGGTACGCCGTCCGGACAGGTACTTTTTCTGGACTAGCTCTACATCCTGTCAAATACTACGCCGACTTCTCTACAGTCCGCATCAACCCATCAATCTCTTCTCACCTGAGGGACGTAGAGCTTGTCATTGACACCGTAGAGAGCTTGAGCTTGACCGCAGTCAACGTTACGCCAGTGGTCACAGGTCAGCACCTGCTGGTTGAAGACTGTGCCGTTGGGACACAAGAAGGAGTTCTGGCGACCTGAGAACTGGCACATGTGGAACACCTGTGGGAGAGTGATAAGAAGTACTTGTACATGTGGAACACTTGAGGGAGAGTGATAAGGGGTACTTGTACATGTGGAATACCTGTGGGAGAGTGATAAGGGGTACTGTACATGTGGAACACCTGTGGGAGAGTGATAAGGAGTACTGTACATGTGGAACACCTGTGGGAGAGTGATAAGGGGTACTGTACATGTGGAACACCTGTGGGAGAGTGATAAGTGGTACTATATGTGAGGGAATGGTTCACCAGCTCACTTACATTATGCTTGTGGAGGCCAGTACACTTGTTAAGTGCGCGGACTGGAGTTTGGTAACCAGCAACCGAAACATCTAGTGTTTGTGTGTCAGTCATCAGCAGTCCAGAAATGTTACCCTGGCCGGGGTAACACGTCTGTGGACAGAGTTGTGCCAATAGCATCATTCTATTGTATGGCTTGGAGCGAGGACTCAAGATTTGCACGGGAACAGTCAGGCCGTCTGGAGAGCGTGGGCCTCCCGCCAGCCACTTGACTCGTCGTCATGGCAACAGCCGCCATCTTAGCAAACATCTTGAGCCGCCATGTTGGTCGGCCATCTTGAAGTTGCCCTAGGAGCCTTGCTACACCGTCGCTGATTGGTTGAGAGGGGATGGCCGCTGTGTGCCTTCCTCTCATTGGCTATTTCGAGGAGGACGCGGGAATCGCCGGTGTTTCTCCCTGAAGCATCATTCTGCTCCAGTCACCACCATAGCCTGACGTCTCTCTTTTGCCCATTCGCCAAATTGGGCAAGACGACGTCGTGGTGACTGTCTCCTCTGCTCTTCCACTGCCGCCTCCACCAAGACCGCCAGCTGCACAGTCAGAATCCTGCTGGAGTTCTCGTCGAGGGGTAGAAAGATAGGGAACGAGTGATAGAAATCTGGATAGTGGAGTAATTTGCATACGAGCAGTAACAGACTCGTGGGTCCCCATACCAGTTATTATAGATGTTCAAATTCCTGCTAGTGGGAGGAATTGTAGCTGTAGCAGTCGATGGGAACGGGGAAATTCGTGCCAAGTGTTCAGGGGCAGTTTTCTCATAGAAATTTGTGGAAAATCTCGAATCAGTGTTTTGGCACCAAAGTGTAGGGAGCGCTACGCTTGCTCGGGAGGGGTTAGGCCGTCGCTCAAGCCCACTACCCGCCACCTAGCGCGCCGCCACCTACCGCCACCTACCACCACCTACCACCACCTACCACCACCTACCACCACCTACCACCGCTGTGAGCCAGCCACCCGTCGCAGGGAGCCTGATTGTATGGTAGGACGATTTAGTGTGTGTGAGGCCGGCAGTATAAATGAGTAAGTACTTATGCGTGTATTTCTGGTGATTAGTTAGTCTCTAAAGCTTGAATTTGAAGTCAGGTGTTCCGTCGCATTGTCACTAAGCACCTGTAGAGGTGAAGTGAAGTGTGGACGAGGAGATAATCACCCCTTGTTGTCATCTTATCAGTCCAGAGGGACTTACGTCTTGTGTACACAGACGTACGGTGTGTGTGTGTGTGGGTACACATGGGAACATAGTATACAAAGATAAGCCAAGGACTGAGAGGATGTCCATGTAATATTGTATATGCCATTCTGGTAGAATTGTGGTAATTCAATCATTTTTGATCATTCGTGGAACGAAGTGATATTATTCCATGTGTAATCTTGCAGGTGTGGAATTCCAGTACTGAGCGCTCGGGTTAATGTCCGTGTGTAACGTCAGAGATGATTATTGGCCATTGATGGCCATTGATTATTGCGGGAGTGATACCAGAGTCTGGTGTTAATGTCTTGTTTACTTCCCAGGGCCGTGACAAGTGTGATTTATATATATATATATATATATATATATATATATATATATATATATATATATATATATATATATATATATATATATATATATATATATATATATATATATATATATATGATCGTAGTGTCACGGTGCCCAGTGTTATTGTGATATTTACTGTGGTGATTGCAATGTGTGGACCTGTGTTCTAAGGGGTTATTTAGAGCGCACTATTGGTCATTTGCAACAGTAAGTGTTGTGCAGTATTCTAATACTTGGAAATTAGAGTACTTGCCGTGTGTGTGTTATTGCAAAGGGGTTGTCATTGATGGTGATTGTTGCAAGTGTTGAACAATCACCGTATGTGATTGCAGTTCAGTAAAGTCATTGTGGGGCAGTGTTCTAGAGGGTTCATGTCCGGTATGTTATTTTACTAGGTTCTGCAGTATTGTCATTCCAACCGGATTGTAACGTAAATCACTGTGATTTGTTAGTGTGATTTGTCATTGTCGTGGGTGAACTCGGCTGTAGACGAGTACTTGGGTAAACATATATTCTCCTGGTTATCTGGTAGGACATCGAAGTCCAGTATTCAGTGAGGTGATTGCGAGGCAATTAATATAACGTAACCAAGGGAACGCCCATTGCTTTAAGAGAATTTGTTCTTTGACAATTTGAGGAACGTAGAATACGTTTGGGTTAATTTACTTTCTGCAAGCAGCTACGGTAGTCTCAAGGAGCCTAGCCATCAGCCGGATAAGAATTAGAATATTGTCTGTCGTAAATAACGGTCAGTGGGCCGGGTATTTGACGTGTTTCAGGAAGTCAAAGTATTTAACCTCGATCCTTGTTTGATCGACTCACACGAAGGCTCCATTGTTCCATTAACGTAATGTCGTTATTTATCTGCCCGGAAGTACCGGCACTTGATTGACTCGTGGGAGGAGTAACGTCATTTTAGAATAACGTAAACGTGGTGCCTAATTACTGTTATTAGCCACCTGAATTGGTCTGAGTATGGAAGGCTTAGACGGAATTTCATACCTTAATGTGAATTGCTGAGCCAGTGTGAAAGGTTGCGTATTTTATTGTTAAATTATTGATCTTGAGGATAGTAATTAATTACTCTAAAGGTAATCACGAGTGATTACCGTTCTCTTAGCACGTTGGACATTGTAAATCAGAGTTTACCATCGTTGAGTTATTGTAACCGATAATGTAAATTAACGTAACTAGTAAAGAGATTAATCAGCTGTACAGAGATTAATGGGATTTTCTCACTGAATGCTCGACGGGTAGAGTATTGTGTAATTTCCGCGTTACTAGTGACAGTTGTAAGAGTTATTAAATTAATATTAATGTTATTTTGTTATTAACGAAAATCAAATTGTTATTGATTGTTGATCGTCCGTGGGACGGAGTGTTAACGTAAGGATTAATTTGAGGAAGGGTGCTGGAGTTGCCAGTGAACCCATTAGTTATTGTTGTCATTGAAAGACTACTGATTTGATTGCATTGCAACCGCCATTGCAGGTGTAGACTGGACTGAGGCGTAGAACAGTTAGGAGGTTACTGGAGACGTGTTTCAGAACCCACTGTGTCATTTGTTGTAATTGTGATTATAGATCTGTTAGTTCTTGTTTCTTGTTGATTCCTCTGTGTTCACGCTTATGTTCGAGTTAGTTCATTATGCAGTCCGAGGGGCTGGTGTCTAGCTGTCATTGATAGTGTCACAGGAAGGATTTCGAGTAACGTCATTGACATTTCTTTTGTTTTGTTGTAGTAGTTAGTACTTTATTGAATAAACTAAGTTGTTATGTTTAACACTGTCTTTTCGTTACACCCCACACATTATTATTGCCCTGCAAGTGTCCTTCACACTCGACTAATAAAATTGAGACTGATTCTGAGTTTTGGACCAAATATACGGCACCACACAACAATAAATTATTGTTGTGAGAGCCCTTGACCTACTCGTAAGATTCACTTCGGCGAATTGCGAAGGTCGTCGGCCCAAGTGGAGGGGATGTCAAATTCTTTTGGGGTCTCGGCGATTGCTCGCACCTAGTCAATTGTTCATAAACGGTCCCAGAGTGAGGAATGAGCTGCTTACTACACCGGTGTGTTAACTAAGCAAGTCCTTCTTCAGGCGACCTAGTTGAATACCACGACAGGAATAAAGGTTAAAGAATAAGAGACAATTCTTAAAAATTTTCCGAGCTCAATTCCTTAGCCATTTCACTTATTCCACTAATCCAAACTTTCACACTGTACATGTGGAACACCTGTGGGAGAGTTATAAGGGGTACTGTACATGTGGAACACCTGTGGGAGAGTGATAAGGGGTACTGTACATGTGGAACACCTGTGGGAGAGTGATAAGGGGTACTGTACATGTGGAACACCTGTGGGAGAGTGATAAGGGGTACTGTACATGTGGAACACCTGTGGGAGAGTTATAAGGGGGACTGTACATGTGGAACACCTGTGGGAGAGTTATAAGGGGTACTGTACATGTGGAACACCTGTGGGAGAGTGATAAGGGGTACTGTACATGTGGAACACCTGTGGGAGAGTTATAAGGGGTACTGTACATGTGGAACACCTGTGGGAGAGTTATAAGGGGTACTGTACATGTGGAACACCTGTGGGAGAGTTATAAGGGGTACTGTACATGTGGAACACCTGTGGGAGAGTGATAAGGGGTACTGTACATGTGGAACACCTGTGGGAGAGTGATAAGGGGTACTGTACATGTGGAACACCTGTGGGAGAGTTATAAGGGGTACTGTACATGTGGAACACCTGTGGGAGAGTTATAAGGGGTACTGTACATGTGGAACACCTGTGGGAGAGTTATAAGGGGTACTGTACATGTGGAACACCTGTGGGAGAGTTATAAGGGGTACTGTACATGTGGAACACCTGTGGGAGAGTTATAAGGGGTACTGTACATGTGGAACACCTGTGGGAGAGTTATAAGGGGTACTGTACATGTGGAACACCTGTGGGAGAGTTATAAGGGGTACTGTACATGTGGAACACCTGTGGGAGCGTTATAAGGGGTACTGTACATGTGGAACACCTGTGGGAGAGTTATAAGGGGTACTGTACATGTGGAACACCTGTGGGAGAGTTATAAGGGGTACTGTACATGTGGAACACCTGTGGGAGAGTGATAAGGGGTACTGTACATGTG